GCGGGCCCACGGGGCGAGGCGGAAGGACGGCTCGTAGCCCTCGGCGCGGTGCGGGCCCCCGTGGCGGCAGCGCGGTCTGGCGGACGCCGTGGGCAGCCCGTGGTGCAGGTTCTCGGTGGCCTCGCTGAACGCGTAGTGCTTCCGCGGTCGGCGCGGCGCGCAGGGTTCGGCGTCCGGCTCCGGGTCGCGGCTCTCGGGCTGCGGCTCGGGTTCGGGGTCCGGCTCGGGCTCGGGTTCGGGTTCGGGCTCGGGTTCCGGCGCGGGGCGCGGGCTGTCGGCGTCCTCCCGCTCCTGCCTCTCGGGCCTCCGGAGGCTGTCCAGGGGGGCCGGCGGCCTGGGACGCTCCGCTTCCTTAGTGAAATCTACTGGGAAGAACAGGCCGGGCGGGTTAAACGGGGTGCGGGGTGCGGGGTGCGGGGAGCTGGAGGTGGCACAGCCGGGAGCCGAGCCCAGAGGCTCCACTGGGAAACAGCACAAAACACCTGCGGCTGGAGAGACAACTAGGAGCTGCGTTCAGTTCCCAGCACCCACTTGGTTGCTAAAAACTGTCAGCAACTCCAGCTCGAGGGGATCCACACCCTCTTTTGACCTCCCCCGGCATTGCACGACACAGGTACACTTACACACATGTAGACAATACACTCAAACACATTAAAAACAACCCCCAAACAAACAAAACAACCCAGCAGGCCAGCCTGCCCTAAAGAGGAGCTTCGGGTTCTGTGAGAGACCCTGTCTCACAGTAAAGCGGAGTATTACAGAAAGACGTGGGCCCTGCTCTGACCTCATGCACTCAGGGGTAAGTACACCCACACACTCACGTGTATGCACCAAACACACACATATACAGATCAGTGGATTTGGGGCTGAGGGTGTGCTCGGTGGTTGGGTACTGACCTAACAGGCATAAGATGTAGAATTTGGTCCCCAGCTTCACAAAACAAACAAATCCCTAAATAAACAGGAAGACCCCAGCCAAACAAAAATTCCAAGATTTCCATTTGAGCACGGCCCAAGAACACACTCGCTTAGAGCTCTTGACAAGCTGCAGAAATGACAGGAAAGGCAAACAGGTGCATAGGGCACTAGAACACAGAGTTCCTGGGACCACCTGAATAAAGGGGAATTTTTAAAAGAAAGTTATTTATGGACAAATACCAATAAAATTTGCCTACAATGCAAAGATGTTCATCATCAGTTAAAATGACAACCTTTTCTACCCATCCAATTGGAAAGTAATTTGCAGTCGGTCAGAATCTGAGGACACGGCCCTTTGTCTCCCCGTGTGTAAATTGGACAGCAATTTGGCAGTCTTTAGCCAAATTTAAGCAAAGGTATTCTAAGAATACCTTAGGCCCAACACGTTCATCTCTTGGAACCAACCCACAAACCCAGCTGCAGCAAGCTTTGGTTCCCTGACACTGGGAGGTCTGCTAAAGGAGTGGCTCCTCAAGTACAGTGTGGCCTGAAGGACTCTGGGCAGTAAGGGGGGGGTGCAGCCTCACAGAATGGTGTTCTACACTGAACTAGGAGCTCACCAGGCCAGGGGTGCATTTACTTCTGCTGCTGTCCCTCCAATGATTAGAACCCTGACTGACCTGTTTATTTACCACAGTGAAAGTGCAGCTAGTGATGTTCCACCAAATCACACCAGTGGCTTTTTATGGGTGAACGCTACCAAAATTGTTACCTAAGCTTTGGTTGACTTCACAGTAAGGTGCAGCCCTGCCACCCAGCAAGGGCTCTCCTGTCTGATCCAAGGGGACCCACAGAATCCCCGTTGAGTGACTGCGGGCTTGTTCACCCTTGACTGTTCCTTTGTAGAAGCTGTCCTTCCTTGCCCAGCCTGGCCTGGTTTTTCAAGCTAGGCTGTTAACAATAATGAGACAGAAAAACAGTACCGCCACATCTTCAGAGTTCTGAAGGAAATGATCTCTAGCCTAGAATTTTCAGCCTTGTTAATCAACTGTCTGCGTACATAATGGCATTTCTAGTTGAAAGGTACACATCTGCTGGAAGGCCACTGGTTCCCAAGAAGCTAGAAGAGGTGTAAGACATAATGAGATCTGTCACAAGAAGACAGGATGCAGTTTAGGAAATCGAGAATCTGTGGAGAAGGGGGTGATGGGAACCTGCTGGAAATGATGGAAGGAGAGCCCACCTGCACACCAGAGGGGGACGGAACAGCCCGAATGCCTTGTCCCTCCAGGACCCCCATGCCAGGTGAGCCCTGTAGGCTCTTGGCCTGCCTTGTCTGTGGGCTGGAGAGAGTTGCACTGCTCAGGCACTCTGCAGCCTGGCTGGCAGGGGCCGCTGCCTGCACCTGCAGAAGACTTCTTGGACCTACTCCTGAGCTGGAGTGAGCTTGGCCATCTTGGGCTTGAGCAGCCCATCCATTCTCTCAGATGTTTACCTGCCATGGGTCCATCCACAGGAAGAGTCCCCGCCTTGCTCACTGACTGGGACCTTGCATGCTCAGGGAACGGAAGCAGGAGTTCCTGCTGTGCTGACCATTGCTCCCAAGTTTTTCTTTTTTAAAAATTTTATTATGTGTGTGTGTGTGTATTGCCTGCATGTAGGTAAGTGCACCCATGTCATGCAATGCCCACGGAGGTCAGAAGAGGCTGTCAGATCCCCTGGGACTGGAATTACGGACAGTTGTTAGCTGCCATGTGAGTCTTGGGGTTTGAACCCAGGTCTTCTGCAAGAATAACCAGTGTTCTTAACCGCTGAGCCATCTTTCCAGCCCCGGTTCCCAAGTCTTTCAACAATGGCAATATTGCCCTTAACTCAAATGGATCTGGACTCGTAACTCGGCTGAAAACGTTTAAGAACATTGTTGTCAGATGTTTGCCAGGGATGATAGCCCAAACCTTTAATCCCAGTGCTTTGACAGCAGAGGCAGGTGGATCTCTGTTGAGTCCAGGTCTTCAGGGCTACCCAGGTGAGACCTCGTCTCAAACAACAAAAAGAAAAAAGAATGTTTATGTGTTACGTGTCCCCTGCCCCCATTTCACATATTGAAGCCCTAATCTCCAGTGTGACTATGCTCTGCCCTTGAGGTGAGGCCTTTAAGGAGATAAATGAGTTTCTAAGGGTCGGGCTTTCCTGGTGGAGTGTTCTAAGTGTGGGTCCTGCTTCCCCTGCTGAGCTCCAAGGACACACACACATAATGGGAGGTGCTGTCTGCAAGCCAGGAGGAGAGCCTTTACCAGGAACCAGTCAATGAGCTTTCTAAATACTCAAGGTCCTGGAACAGTCCCTAGCTTCCAGAACCTTGATCTTGGCCTTCCTGGTCTCTAGACTGTGGGAAAATATCTAGCCATTGTTCTAGCTGCCAGTCTGTGGTATTCTGTTGTGGCAGTCCGAGTGGAAGAATACCGACAGATACAAGGATGCCAGGCTCTGAGAGGGAGCGGGAACATCTGGCAGAAGACCCACAAGGGCTGTGGCTGGGGCCAGGAGAGAAGGCTGTCAAGAGCTATGGATGTTCTAAGGAGCACTGAAGTTCTGTTCCTTTTTTTTGTTTTTTGAGACAGGGTCTCACCGTGTATCCCTTGCTGATCTGGAACTGGCTATGTAGACCATGCTGGCCTAAAAAAAAAAAAATCACAGAGAGCCACTTGCCTCTGTCTCCTGAGTGTGGGATTAAAGGTGTGTGCCAGCACACCCATTAAGTTCTGTTTCTTAAGGGGAAGTTCATACATACAGTAATACACCATTAAAACAAGTCAAAAATAAGGCATTTCTTTTTGAGACACAGTCTCAGCGGACCAGGCTGGCCTCGAACTTGTGATCCTTCTGCCTTAGCCTCCCTACCTGGGGCTAGGATTATAGGTAAGGACCATCATGCTGGCTCAAGACTAGTTGGAGCTCTTAAATTACCTTTGTATTTTGTCTTAGACTCCTCTTGCTTTGGTAGTTTACTGATACAATAAGCAATTGCGTGGTTTTTTTCCATCACTTTTTCCTTATGACCAATGTTTCCTGTTGTCATTTTACCCTGTAATTTAAAAAAACAGCAAAAAAAAAAAAATCCATTTGGGGATGTGGATAATTTTAAACTGTATTTTTTTTCTGGTGAACACTAGTGCTCTTTGTATAAGATGAGCAACTGCTTTTATTACGCTATTTTAATTAAGACCCATTTGTAGACAATGCAAGATTTGGGAAGTGCGGTACCTTAGCTGTCCAAGATGGGACGTCTGACTTTTGGCCTTCCTGGTGTCTTGTGTTTATAAATGGCAAACTTTTTCTGTCCACTTGCACTGATTTTGTTGAATAAACTACAGAATAGGCAGATTGTAAGAAACAGTTCATGTCTGGAAGCTTTTAAACAAGAAGTAACACTGATTTAAATGTGAAGTAACTCTCAAGGATGCAATGCTATGAAGTGATGGCATTTCCTAAATAGCCAATACACACATAGGGGCGGGCGCTAGTCTCCTTTCTTTTCCCTTGTCTTAACCTAGGGCATGGGGGTTTCAGTACCACAGTGGTAAAGCGGTGCTAGGACAGGGCAGCAGTGCTCTGTCACCGGTCTTTCGTGGAAGGGGCTGAGAGGGGTAAAGCCACTGCTACCCTGGGAGAGCCCGGGCCATCCACACCAGAACTTTCTCTCATTTCAACAACTGCTCTCATCAGCCGTTCTGGTGGCGGTTATTGAGTTTACAATCCGGAGGAACACGGCGAGGCAAAGAAATCGGAGGTCTCTGCCTTTGAAAGCAGCGCCTTTGCACCTAAGGCCTCCCTGAGCAGAGCCCGAGGCTGGGAGGCAGCAGAGAGCACTTACGTGCACACCGTGCCTAACGGGAAAATGCTCAGCACGGGAAAGACACAGACTCACACCAGGAGCTGCGTGGAGGCATCCGCGAGCCACCGTGCTGAGCAAAGGCAGCGGTACAGGAGGGGCTGTGGGGCCCTTCCGGGAAGGCTGACTGTGATCAGAATGGTGGTTCCTGGAGCACAAGCATTTGTCCAAATCCACTGACTCAAACGGCTAACATAGGCACACATTACGGAGGTTAAGTGTGCCTCCGCCCTGCACGGACCCGCAGAGACCTAGAGAGTCCAATGTGGGCAGGAGCTTGCATTTCAGCAGCACCAAAGATGAGAAAAGACAAAAGCATGGCTGTTTTTCCTAAATCTTTGGACAATAGTAAAGCTTCATTATTGTTCTAAAATCACAAAATGTGTTTCAGTGCCTGGTGGAGTGGTAAAGACATTTACTATTAGCCAGGTGTGGTGGCACAGGCCTTTAATCCCAGCACTTGTGAGGCAGAGGCTGGCAGATCTCTGTGAGTTCAAGGCCAGCCTGGTCTACATAGTGAGTTCCAGGGCAGCTGGGGCTACAGGGAGACCTTGTCTCAAAAGGATAAAAAAATAAAAAGATACTATTTTGGTTATGTAAATATGACCAGACACTTAAAAATAAGTCTGAGCAAAAGTGAGTAAAACATACCTTTTGGGTAATCATCTTTTTCATGTAAGTTTTTAAGTATTCGATTACTGTAGATGTTTTTAATTTCAAGCTCATGATCCTTTTCCTAAAAAGAACCACAATGTCAATTTTTCTATATACCTGCTTTTATTAACCTTGACTAAAAGCTATGTAAGTGAATCAGTACACTCTGAATGACATCTACAGACTTTAGAATAAGTAGAAATAGGGGCTGGAGACATGGCTTAACAGTTAAGAACACTGGTTGTTCTTGCAGAAGACCTGGTTCGAATCCCAGAACCCACATGGGATCTAGAAAAGATGCTCTTGATGTCTTATCCATTATGTGCCTCATAATAAATTTTATGATTAAGAGGATGATAAAACCTACATTCAGGCTGGAGAGATGCTCAGTGGTTAGGAGCACTGGCTGCTCTTGCAGAAGACCCAGGTTCAATTCCCAGCACCCACATGACAGCTGACAAATGTCTGTAACTCCAGTTCCAGAGGACCCACAGCCTCTTCTGTCTTCGTTAGGCAATGCACGACACGGGTGCACTTACCTGTATGCAGGCAATACAGGCATACACATAAAAAAATAAAAATAAAGAATTAGCAGAAATAAGCTTGTTTCTATATTGCTAGCCATTCTAGACACCAGATTTCTGACAAAGTGATGCATGCTGGTGACGGGTCCTGTCTTTGAAGACTTTTTCCAGGAAGCATCTTCTTTTTTCAATATTTTCTTTTAAAAAGTTTTATTTTCTCTCTCTCTCTCTCTCTCTCTCTCTCTCTCTCTCTCTCTCTCTCCACACATGTGCAGGTGTGAACATGCCACTGCAGAGGACAACCTGTAGTAGTTGGCTCTCTCCCTCCACCTTGTTGAGGCAGGTCTGTTTTTCTGTGGCTGTACTCTGGCTGGATGGCCCCAGGGTTCCAGCTGATTTTCCACCTCTCATCTCCCCACCGGAGTGCTGAGATTACACAGGACTGCGTTGGTTTTTACAAGGGTTCTGGGAACTCAGATCATCAGGCTTGTGCCAGAAGAGCTTCTACCCACGGAGAGCCATCTTGCTGGCCGACCAGTTAAGCTGCTTTTGCTGTGTTCTTGCTGTCCCTGGACCTGTCCCTTGAAGTCAACTGTCCCTCCGCACTGTTCACTGTAGCAGCCACTGGCTACGTGTTGTAATTTAAATTACACAAAGTGAAATAAAATGAAAATTCAGTCCTCAGTCACACGACCGGTATTTCAGGTGACCACAGCCTGGACAGCACAGATTGAGCACTTGATCTCAGCAGGGAGTTCTGACAGACAGAGATGTGTACACATGTACAGGCCATAAGCCTAGAACTCTTTACGTTTTTTAAAATTTATTTTTTATGTGTATGAATGTTATGCCTGCATGTATGTCAATGCATCTGTGTTGTGCAATGCCTGCAGAATCCAGAAGAGAGGGTGGGATCCCCTGGAACTGGAGTTACAGCCGGTTGTTAGCCGCCATGTGGGTGCTGAGACTCAAACCTGGGTCCTCTGTAAGAGCAGCCAGTGCCATCTCTATAGCCTGAGTGTAGGCTTTATAATCTTTTTAATCATAAAATTTATTATGAGGTATATAAATGGATAAAGACATCAAGAGCATCTTTTCTAGAATTGAGTTTCCAGAAGCAAAATGTTATGGGTCTATCTCCCCTTTACTTCTCATATTTTAATATTTAGCCCGAAGACAGAAATGCTGACAGTTTATGACCGTGAAAAGCTGAGTGAGCATATTCTGGATTATTCTGTCAAAGGAAGGGAACAGTATGAAGCATTGTAGAATGTCTTTTCACTCACTCTGCCTTAGATTAAGGTTTTGATGTTTAAAGGGCACATCTTGATTCTGCGATGTGCAGAGCCAACATTTGTTTTGGTACGGGATGAAACTCAGCAGCAGAGAGGAGGAAGGGAACAGACTGACATTGATTGATTAGCTGGGGTAGGGCCACCTGGTGTGGGAGGGAAGGAACGTGAGGCTTCACGCTTGGATCAGACGTTCCAGTTGGGGACCCACGACAGAGCCGGGCTGGAAATTCTAAGGCAAGTTTTAGAACACGATCCAGGGAACTCGTGTGGTCAAGCTCAATCAGGTAATCGAGAGAAAGAAAGGCCGTAGACCGAAGCACCCACTTGTGGAGTGCCCGTTGGATCCTCACCACAACAATTACTTAGAGCTCACGACAGTCAGAGTTAAAGGAGAAGGTGAGCTGCAGTGTGGGACTCCCAAGATCAGGAAGCAATGTCTTGGCAGACCCTGAGCCACGGTGCTCGACTCTAAGCCGGAGTTACAGCGTCTCATTTAGAGCTGTGGGTGGCTGACATCCATCTTTACAGCTTCACCCACACTCCAGAGACGAGTTTGGACTTGATGGTGGATGATTTTGAAAATGTGGCTCAAGGGACAGAAATAGTTATTCTGATCTTTGTGCCTGCATCCTCCCGGGCTCCAACAATGACTCAGGTTTATGTGGCAGATCACAGTGTCCTAAACTTGGCACAGTTTCCAAACCCTAAGCTCTTGCAGAACCTGTCACTCCACAGCAAGAGTCTGCTGTCAGCCACTCGGGGTGACTGCTGAGGCCAGGTCGGCCGGACAGCGGGGTGTTCTGCCCTCCCGCCCCTTCTCTCTGCCCTCCCTCCCCTTCTCACTTGTCAGTTCTTGCCCTGGGAGCCCAGCCATCGGGTTGTGAAGAAGTGCATGCCACATGGAAAGGCCACATGGAACGTCACCGAGAAATCCCTCGGCTATTAACTGGCACCAGCTGCAGACAATCCAGGGAGACTTCAGGTGTTTGGCACCCTGGCTGTGTGCCTCCAAGTCAAGCCTGCTGAGACAGAGCGGAGCTGACTGCCAAGTCTGGCCCAGACTGTAGATCTGTGAACACAATTGTTGATGTTCTTAACCCATTGAAGTTTAAAAGTAACTTTTAATGCATCATAGGAACAGGAAGAGTTGAGATGATGATGTCCACGTCTCTCTTCCCTCATCCCTGGTCATCATCAGGGGTGATTGTGGAGAGGACTACAGGGCAGACCCATTTGCCTGGATGAGCTGCACAGGTGGGAGGTGGGAGCAGATACTCAATGCAAAGAGAAACTACCAGTCATCGCCATGGGCTTAGTGACCGAGTGTCACGAGCCTTGTACTTCAGAAACACAATGGACACGTTTGTCTTTTCATGTCAGAATTTATTAGCAATGAATTCACAAGCTACATCAGTTCTGTGGTCCCCAGTTTACTAAGAATCTAGGTTTCCCTGGACAGCACGGCTGTTGGCAATCACAGGCTGTTTTATTTCAAACTTAATTACTAATATTAACTCTCAAATCACACATTACAGTTGTGTGTGTGTGTGTGTGTGTGTGTGTGTGTGCATGCGCCTGTGTGTGTGTTGTTAAAGAGGCTGCAGAGGGGACTGGAGAGAGTTCATTTCGTAAAGTGCTTGCCATCCAAACATGAGGACCTAAGTTTGGATTCCCAGCACCTATGTAAAAAGTCAGGTACTGGTGGCATGTGCCTGTAATCCCAGCACTAGGGAGGAGGGTCCTGCAGCCTTTTTGGATAGCCAGTCTAGCCAAATCAGCAAGCTCCAGGTTCAGTGAGGGACTCTGTCTCAAATAAATAGACAAATAGGGCCTGGAGAGATGGCTCAGCTGTTAAGAGCACTGGCTGTTCTTGCAGGGACTAGGGTTGGATTCCCAGCACCCACATGGTGGCTAATAACCATCCCCAACTCCAGTTCCAGTGGATCCAACACTCTCTTCTGACCTCCGAGGACATTGCACAACATGGGTTTACTTGCACACATGCAGGCAATATACTCATACCCATAAAATAAAAATAATTAAAAAAATAAGAGAGGTTGGAGGAAGATACCCAACACTGACCTATGGTCTCTCCATATGCATTCATGAGTATCACACACACACGCACACACACGCACACGCGCGTGTGCACACACCGATGAGACCGTAGGGTGAAGAGGCCTTATTGGAGGGGAGGTAGAGTGCTGATACGGATGCAGAGGCCCTGCAGCTGCTTTGGCATCCATGAACCCAGCTGGAGAACTGCTGAGGCCTGCAGTGCCAAGTGGCAGAGGGAAGCCACCAAGGCATAGGACCGTCAGCTGAGGTGAAGGACTGGGGGCCGGACGGGCTCTAGATGTGATGGCGACTGGAGAGGGCTGTGTCAAGTGACGAGAACCAATGAGTCCTGCTGAGCTGAGGCCCCAAGGGCAGTGACAAGAGCTCTCTGCCTGCATTGAGTGGATGGAGGACAGGTGTCCTTCCTTTTATGGGGTCCAGGTGAGCGTATTATGACCCTCATTGATCTGGTGTGGTTGAAGCTCTCAGGCTTGGTTTTTATGGTATGGTTTTAACATACCTACATGCCCATGTGCTCCTAATCTACTATGTGTATAGATGGTACCTTTTCACCATAGCAATAAATGATTAATCATTCTGTGCTTGATAGTTCATGCTGAGCTGATGGTGGTATCTACACACACAACAAGATGTGGTTATCCTGTCTCTGCATTTACACTCAAAATGGAACCAACTGCTACTCTGTAAAGTGGAGTCACCCAGGGCGAGGCACAGTCTGAAGCTGCCGTTCAGCACTACAGAGAGGGTTTAGAGCTGTGTACAGCTTGATCTCCACATTTACTAATAAACAACTCCGACCTACCAAGTTCCCTCTACACACCCACCATTCCCTAGTCCTGGAGTGTTTTAAGAAAATCCTAGTTTTAATCTGTCAGTATTTCAGTATCTATGATAGAATAGGGTGTATTTTAAAAAACCTAACCACTACATAATCATTCAATCCCCAACTAATAATAAGCCTTTAATATCATAAGATATATTTTCCCATTTTTCATTTGTCTTACCGTATTTTTAGAGTTTGTTTAAATGAAGATCCAGGCAAGGTCTAAACATTGTCACTAATAGACCTCTTGGGTTCTTTAATTAATAGGCTTTGCACGCTCACCTCTTATTTTTTCACTTTGCTACTTCTTTGTGGTAGATGCTGTCTCCCAGTCTGACGCTGCGGACAGCTTGTCTGTGGT